AGAAGAATGCTGGTAAGTATATTTTTTGTCCTCCTCAGATTAATTTGAAAACTGCTTTTCATAGTTTTGGGGATGCTGTTCAGCACCCTTGGATAGCTCTTTTAAAATTAAGAGTAAATCTTGGATCAGATCCATAGTACTGCTGACATGGGAGCCCTCAGCCATCATTAGTTAAAAATGAGGTGAATTCTTTCCAGAAAATTTAACTTGTGAAAGGTTTCCTGATTTTTTGCCTTTTCATGTCTTAATACAGATAGCTGAACACTGAAACAATACCATTATAGAAATAAAGGATTTAAGTATCATTGTTTGAAGGCTATTCTCTCCTATCAAATGTTGGATTTTACCCAAATCCAGCCTTTAAAACTGGTGATGATATTTAAAATAACTGATCTTCAGTGGCTGTTTCATGAAAAATTCAGAATTCAAATTTAGAACTAAGAAACATGCATTTCCAATTTATGTTTCACCTGTAGTTTAACCTTTAGGAATTCACAATCTTGTCTTTTTCTCTATTTTGTGGGCTTGTCACAATTTCAAATTTTAAAATGTAGCATCAATGTTTTTAAAAGCCCTTGAAGGCTGCAATCCTATTCCTACACCTATTTAGAGCAAATCCCACTGAGCTTAATGAAATTTACTGCTAAGCAGATATTTCTTAGCTTGAGCTGTTTGTATGTGAGACCTTTTAAAACCCACTTCACATATGCATATGCATCTTCCAAGTACCATCAAGCAATAATTTCCATGTGCTGAACAGTAATCACTGATAGCTCATCATCTGTAAGACTTCTATACAGGCCAGCACTGAGCAGTGGGAGCCACTGGGGATTGCATCAGTTGCCAGATTCCCTCTTTGTTCCTTCCCCCCTCTACATTTCCTTCCCCCTTTCTTTCCATTAGCGGGAAGCAATGGTACTTCAGTCAGGGCTGTGGAGCAAAGTGAATACCTTAGCTTTCCCAGTTTTTCTAGTTTTTAAAAAATAGAGGGGGGGGAATGTGTTCTACTAGGTTGGCTAACCTAGGAGGTGGCAGATGGTGCCATGGTAGTACAAAAGGAGGCAAAGAGTATGTTGTTCAAGCTCCCTCAAACCTTGTTGTCGTTGTGTGCCTTCAATTCATTTCTGACTTATGGCGACCTTAAAGCAAACTTATTACTGGGTTTTCTGGGGCTGAGAGTGTGTGACTTTCCCAAGGTGGGCTTCCATGGCCAAGCAGGGAATCAAACCCTGATCTTCAGAATTGTAGTTCAATGCTCAAACTGCTACACCACGCTGGCTAGTCAACACAAGCACACTACTTTTCAGTAGAGGTGCTTCTTTCATTGGACTGAGAGTCATCCAGTTTCAGGTCATTAGGAAAGAACATCCCATGTGTGAATGTGCCCTAAGAGATAATCTGAAACAACCCTTGATATAACTACAGATTGTCTTTCATTTTTTCCATCTCTCACTAGGCTGAACACAGGAGATCGTACTGTGAACATATGTAAGTTGCTTATGGATTGAAATACTGCCTAACAAGTACTGTGCAGAATATATGAATGCACATTCTGATGGTGATTATGGTGATGGATCTTTTCCCAATACACTTCCAGATTTCCCCACAAACCACACATATTTACAATTCCATATAAAATATCATTGATAAACCCATCCTATTTAACTGCAAGTGTGTGACTGCCTGGTGCCTTCTAGATGTTTTAGACCACAGGGCCCTTCAGCCCCAGCCAGCATTGGATATGATCTGAGATTATAGGAGTTGTATTCCAAAATGTCTGGGAAAATATCTGGAAGATACCAAGTTTCCTACCTATGATTGATCTTAAACCAAGTGCTCTGATTGCCTATTCCTGCAAGGCAGAGAGTTGGACTGGATGGGCCTTGTGGTCTCTTCCCACCCTATGGTATCACTTTTTAAATCAATCAGGCAGGAATCTTTTTTTTTTTTTTTAAAAAAAAAACAACCTGAAATACTTACAAGTTGTAGACTTAGAAGAGAAGTTAACTCAAGCTTTTCACAAGTGACAGAATGCACCATCTAAAATGGTGCCTAGTGGGATATGTCAGTGTAACATCTGCTGCTTCAGTGGTATTTGTACTGTTGTTTTTTTTTATTCTCATGCAAAAAAAAGTAGATTTAAATGCTGCATTATCAACTAACGAGTTAAAAATTCAAATGGCTTATTTGATTCAACTGAAATTTTTCAACTGGGCTACAGCTCTGAGTTCCATCCATCCAGTCCACAAAGGAAGTAATAAGTGTGGGAAAAGCACAAACTGGTCATCTGTTTGCTAGTTTAGGAATATAAGAATTGCCTTGTTAGATCAGATTCAATCTTCATCTGGTTCAGCATTTTACCTCCAGAATGAATCATAACCAGGCCCTAGTGGAAATAGGCATCTTCAATTGATTATTCCTAACACTTGTAATTGTGGTATACTGGCCCCATATATGGAATTTTTTTGCATCTATATCATTATGAGTTTTAAAAAGTTATAACCAACTACTATGTGTCATTGAGGTCTTACTAATACTGACTATGGCAGTTCTATACTTATCTATTACTGTTATGACTTTCTTCTTATAAAAAACAGTTATGTGTAGTTGGTGGCTTTTAACATGGAGGTCCCAGGCTTATTTGTTAATTATGATTTACAGACCTCAACAGGTCCTTTGCCTACATAAATCTGCTTACTTAACCCAGTGGACTATCACCAAACTGAACAGTTAGGGAGTTTCAATATGGGTGTGTCTTTTATTCTAGCAGGAAGCCAATTCTGGATTCTCTAGAAAATGAAAATGTGTGGCAAACTTTTTTCATCAGGTGTCCAAAGAAGCGAGGGAGCAGTTGTCCATAATGACAATCTCCATCCTGGATCGGGACGCATTTCTCCAAGTGGAACCAACCAGAGTAATGAAGATGTTTGTGACAGTGTTAGCGCCACCCATGACAGCAGTCCAACCCCAGAATGCATTCCTTCAAGTTGTGAAGATGCCTGAAGTTCTTCTGGTTCCTCGACACATGTCTGTCATTACAGCATCAAGTTGTGAAATTATTAAACACCATGCTATAGTTTGTGTCCCCTACTTAGACTTTGCAGACCAGCCTAAAAGGCCAGCCTGGGGATGGAATTGGGGTGCGGCAGCCACATGCCGTCTGCCCAACTCCACCCCAACCCCATCCTGATGTCGCTGGTGTCATTTTGCCACTCTTTTGGGGGCAGCAAAAAGGAGGATCAGGGCTGCGGTGTGTGGTTGCCGTACTCCCAATCCACCACTCTCAGGGGCAGCTCTGTGCCACCCCTTCTTGGCCATGTGCATCGGCCCTTAAACTGTGCCTCTGTCTGGAAAAGAAGGGAGCCTGTGAGACAGAACAAAATACAAATATTTCTGAACCTTGATACTAGAAATGTTCTTCAAGTTGTTGCCAAGCAAGGGATTTGTGGACTGAGAGAGAAAGTGGAAGTGGAGAAAGAGAAATATCTGGTCTTCAAATAAAATATCTGTTTTCTGGTTGAACTAACTTCCTGATTGACATGCTATGCTAACTTTCTGAGGGCCAGTATGCAAAGGGATCTTGTAGCACCTTTGAGACAAAGGGCCTGAGCAGATAGGACAGGATAGCACAGGCTGAGCCTGAGTTATTCTGGCCCCAGTGCTCATTTGGGTAGGTAATAGATCAGTGAAGGGATGGGTGGATGTTTACATGCTCGTCGCCACACCAACCCAGGAACTGCTAATGGCACATACTCCTTACCTTGTTACACCATCACTTGTACTCAGGAGCCCCCCCCCCCCATCACCATATCCTATGTGGAAATTGAGTGCCTGGCTGCACCCATATGGCCAAGCACCCAATTTCTGCATTAGATGCAGTGGGGGGGGGGGCTTCTGAGTATGAGCAAGTGCAACAAGGTGAGGAGTGCAGAGAGCTGTCTAAACAGCCAGGGGTGCTGCAAATTTCCAGGAAACTTTGCAGTAAACCAGGGGTCAAATTATTCTGTGGGTAAAGGCTGTTTACCCTGGGATCAGGCTAGATTCACTGGATCCATGTTTGGTCTGGAAGGATTGGGCTAGAGTCTGGAAGGATTGGGCCACTAGACCCTGGCACTGGTGTTATGGCCTGCATCATCTGAACTGGATGATACAAGGCCAGGCTGTTTGGCCCATGATGACAACCCCTAACAGAAATAAGCTGGTAGCATGAGCTTTTGTAGACTTGATTCTACTTCCTCCGATGCCTGCATTTGAAGAAGTAGAATCACATCTACAAAAATTCATACTATCAGCTTTTTTTTTTCTGATAGTCTCAAAGGTGCTATAAGAATCCTTTCCACCCTGATTTTCTAGAGTAACATAGCTATTTCTTCAGACCAGTTGAACCACCTCTAAGCTGGCTGAGGCTAAGCTGAATCCAAACTCGTCCATGCCTAGGAGGTATTAGAAATTAATTAGGACTAACCTTGCCTGGTCCTAACTTTGTGTCAGCATTGTGGCTGTGTGCCCAGCTGGGAAAGATTATATCTTGTGCTACTCAACTCTCTCTCCCCACTTTCCATCCCCCCTTTTTTTGGCTCTTTGTCTAACAGCTAGGAGTTCTAGCTTTGCGGACGTTTGTTGCTGTCATGGGAGGTAATTACAGTATGTTGCCAGCTCTTTTCATGTGACCTCAGACCTCTGGTATTATCGGAACAACAGCGGAAGGAAACATAACCTAATGTCAGCTCTAATAGACCAACATTTTTTTCCCATGCCAGGGATATTTATGCCATTATCATATTTACTTAGTTATCTGAAACCGTACTTGGAAACAACATCTGGTGCCTTATGGATAGCACTGGTTCATGGGCCACCACTTTTAGTAACACTGTTCAAGTGGGGCCAAGTCTTGTTATTGTGTGCCTTCAAGCTCTTTCAGACTTATGATGACCCTAAGATGACAGGTTTTCTAGGGCTGTGTGTGTGCCTCGTCCAAGACCACCCAGTGAGTTTCCATGCGCAGGCAGGGAATCGAACCTTGATCTCAGAGTCATAGTCCAACACTCAAACCACTATGCCATGGTGGCTCTTGGAGCCAACTAAAGTCATTTTGGAAGGAATTTAAGAATGATTGTACTTTCTATTGTTTTGTGCCTATATGCACAGCAGCCTTGATGGATTTGCCTGATCAGCCTTTCCAGAAGAAAAAAGCCACTGGTAAAGAAGCAACTAAAAAGTCCTAATAAAAAAGTTACAAAGTGCCTTTAGGATAAACCAAAATACTACAAAACAGTTAGCAAACTTTGGGTCTTAAGTGCAAGGTGTTGGGGCCACTTTCATCAGTCTTGCAAAACTTTAGCTGTAACTGAAAGGATTGACTAATTGAATATTTTCAGACATTTCTGCTCCCTAATTCAAGTGTTTCTGTTCCTTATTCTTGCTTTCTCCACATGTCATGGCTGGATATTCTTTTGTTTCCAATAAAGCTACTTTATTGCATTTTGCATTTGTGCATGAAGTGCATTTGTGCATGTGGGACTTAGTAAAGAAAACAATCAGGCATACCAACCATTTTATGTTGCTTTCCCACCCACATCAGTAGGAGAGGTAAAATTACCCAGAGCATGGGATGGGTGAGACAATACACATGGATGATGGGATGCAAAATGGTGGCACTGTTTCAAAATGTGGAATCACAATGGTACTTTGCACATAAATTTGGGCAAGAATTTAAAAAACAAACAAACACTGCAATTCAAATCCTCCCTAGAAGCTTAAGTCACAGACAGGCTATGGTTTCTTCAAACAGAGGGAAAGACACACTGCCAATTGTGTGTATTTTCATAATCAGAGACATTTAATGAATTAAAAAGCTGGGAAAGACTGGAAATAAAACAAATGGGATCTGCAACACAATGTTGCAGTATAGAATACTTCTGTTCAGGAAGCCAGCCAGCCAGCCAGCCAACTAGTGCCTTGCCCCAGGGTACTCCATTGCATTATCCTCCCCCATCCCTCAGTTTCCCATCTCTCTCAATAGTCAATGTGTCTCTGTTCTACTTCTTTTCATATAACTCTTTCCTTTTAACAAATTATTCGATCAGTACTGTATGCACCATGAGCAAGTCCAGGACTTACTGAGCTTTTTGGGATCTATTCCTGCAACACTTCTCCCTTTTCCCCTAAACATTTGTTTACTTTTGCAATGCCATTTTCCTCTTGAAAATGGATGGTGCCATTTTGACTACATAGAGATCAACAATCAGCAGATTAGATCAGTATTAGCATCTACTTAGACTATGAGCCTGGAGACCATGGTTCAAATCCCCACTCGGCCATGAAAACCCATTGATTGACCTTAGACAAGTCACGTTCTCAGCCTCAGAGGAAGGCAAAGGCAAAACACACTCTAAACAAATCTTGCCAAGAAAACCCCATGATAGTGTCGCCTTAGAGAAGCTGTAAGCTGGAAATGACAACATACATACATACAACAAAGTCACAATAGGTCCCAAGGCAAATGGTATATAACAGTAGCAGTAGCAGCCATGTATCTTTTCACAAAGTTAAGATTTCATCCCATTGACAGCTATACGTTGTACAGATTTATTAGACAATACAGAACTTAAACCAAAGAGAAATGCAAACCACAGGAACAGTAGTAGGACTTTATCCATGTGACATCCTCATTTCTACTGAAACAGTGAGGAAGAAATACAATTGCTAATCAGAACTGCTAGCAGACCAAATGGTGCACATGTTGGGAAAAGATAGATTTCCACATGGATAATTACCCCAGGGATATGTACAGAATGATTTCAGGATATTACCTGCCATTTAGGATTTAACAGGCTAAGTAATCCACATTAAACCAAATTCTCTCTTATGGCAAACAGCAGTGGAATTCAATTCTACCCTTTTTGGGTGAGGCCTACATGCATATGAGAGGAGCTTCTCATTGAAAAAATCATCAGAGGCAGATAAGCTCAGCTGAAAAACAGCTCATGTGCCTCATTGCTGATCTTCCCTTGTAAGGATCCAGGGTCACATTCTCAGTTGGGATCAACAGGGAGAAAAGCCCTGGCTGTGAGGACCTGGAATGTAAAAGCAATGCCTGATCTATATATGTGCACCACATACAACTGGACAAAATAAATTCTTATTTTCTAACCAGCTGTACATGACTGGTTAGAGAAACAAATAGACAAAGAAGCCTCCTAAATGCACATCTTGGAAGACTGTGATTTTCCCCACTGAAGCGCAAAGTTCACCTTTCAGAATGAGCTGCCTTTTCTTTTCTTTTTTAATATTTTGTTCTAAAGGAAGTGGAAGTGGACACAAACTTGACGTTAGAGCTTTTTGTGCTCCCAGCACTGTATCCTCCAACAGACAGACGAGGGCCCCCTAGCTCAGTGCCACTGTTTGAGGAGATGTTTCTCCCAATGCTGGGGCTACACATTCCCCCTCCGCCACTGCTCACAATCCCTCCGCCTCTGACAAAGCTCCTGCTACAGGAAGCATATCCTCCTCCAATACAAGGATCGGGATCACACACCAGTCCACCCTGGGTCCGACAGACAGCTAAAGCAAGAAGAAAACAAGACAGGATTATCCATTTCCAAAGCTGAAACACCTGTGTGGGATTATTTACAAAAGTGGGGTAGGGTGGGATGGGGTAGGGGACAATTCTCCAAAAGACTACTTACAGATGTTTACTGGACAGGAATCAGCAAACAACCTGTTCAAAGAAAATGGAAAAGTCTCACACATCTATTGTACCATGCATATTACATTTCTTTTGGAAAAGATGCCCCACATGATTCACCAAGTGGAGATAGCCTCTCTATTCTAGTTTTTCCAAGTGATTTTTGGCCAAATTGCTTTTGGCCAGGTGCAAAGGCTTTGGGAGTAGGTCACAGAAGACTGCTCCAGCAAAGGGTTCTGAGGCCATGTGCTACCTCTCTCTTACCCCATAACAGGGATGGAGGGATCGGTCTGCTTTGGTTCTACAACTTGTGAACTTTCTGAAGTCTATATTCACTAATTCATTCCCCTGTCTGCATTGTGAATTTTGGGTAAAGAAAAAGCCAACTTAAATGTCCTAGAATCACAGGGATGGAAGGGACCACACAGGGCCTATCTAGTCCAAACCCTGCCATGCAGGCACACCATCAAAGCACTCCTAAGTGATAGTCATCCAAAATCTGTTTAAAGACATCCAAAGAAGGAGATACCACCACCTGAGCCAATCTATTCCACTGTGGAACAGTTCTTACTGTCTAGAAGTCTTATCTAATGTTTAGGCGACATCTCCTTTCTTGCTATTTGAATCCAGTGGTTCATATTCTAGTCTCTAGAGCAGTTGAAAACAAGCTTACTCCATCATCAACATGGCATCCCTTCAAAAATTTTAAAATGTCTATCATATCACCCCTCAGTCTTCTCTTCTCCAAGCTAAACATTCCCAGTTCCCTAAGCCATTCTTCATAGAACATGATTTCTAAACCCCTTATTATCTTGGTCACCCTCCTCTAAACATGTTCCAGCTTGTCAACATCCTTTTTGAACTGCAGTGTCCAGAAGTGGACACAGTATTCCAGATGAGGTCTCACCAAAGCTTGAATAGAATGACACTATTACATCCCTTGATCTGTATGTAGCACCTTTGAGATTAAGTGGAAAAAATGAGTTATGCAGCCCCCAAGCATGCTGCCAGCTTCTTTCCTTCAGTTTAGTCTCAAAGGTGCTACAAGATCCCTTTGCACACTGATTTTCCAGACTAACATGGCTATGGAGACATGAGGCTAAAAAGTGGAATTAAAGCAAAACAGATGCATCTAGGGCCAAACCTTATCTGATGACACTGTGGCTGGTCTGTCCTCCATCTATGACTATCACACATCTTTTCATTGACAAGCTTTCCCAACTTGTTGGGGCATTTGGGTTACACGTTGTAAACAGCTTAGGGAACACTAGTTCACTGATAAGCAGTATAGTGATGTACTTGCTATTGCCCTGTCAATTTCTCCCAAAAGTGTTGCTGTTGCATTAAATTTATGTGTGATAATGTCTGGGCTGCAGTTCCAGCATTGGGCAGTCACATGGTATCAGTTTCCTTCTCTCCATCACTCCCACCATTATTTGTAAGCAGCTTGTATTCCCCACCTAAATTATATTGCTATAATATCTAAATAGGTTTTTTTTTTTTAAAAAAAGAGAATAATAAAAGTTTAAAAACCCAAAAGGCATACCGGTAAATGTATAAGGCAGAGAGATAGGGTTAAGGAGCATGCTAAGAAAGAGAATCATGGACTGGCAATGGCTGTTACAGTGGTTGCAGACTCATGCGATGGGAACTGCTCCCAAGCTAGTATGTATGCATTTCCTTTCATTAATGTGACTACATCAAGATAAAGAGCTTGTATGACAATCTCTTCTACCTTTGAATCCCATGATCTGGATAATATACTCCTGTTGATACAGCTCAGAATTGTCTTAGCCTTTTTGAAAGCCACATCACATTGTAAACTCAGTTTAAATTTGTGGTCCACTAAGACCTCTAGATTTTTTTTCTCAAGCCAGTTGTCATTCATCCTATATTTGTACATTTCATTTGTGAATTTTTGGCACACATAACTCAGTGTATCCATTAGCAAAAATACCTAACAAAATATATACTTTTTTTACACATTTCTTTTAAGGTAACAGATTTCTGTGCACAATTTCCTCTACTATACACATTTTGTATGCATTTTTTGCACCACAAAATTCAGAAGAGTGTGCAGTGTGGAAGAAAATTGTATTGTGATTCATCTATTAGTTCAGGGAGTGTGAATTAGCTTGGTATATATCAAAATGCAAACCTAGAAGCACCTGTATAGAAATGAAATGCAATTAAGATTTTATCAGCCTGCAAATAAACCAGTGCATTAGGGTACAAATAAAGTCAGGGTACAAATAAACCAGTACATTAATTACCTGCTCTCCTCTCCTTCCAGCATCTTCCTATAAGTGGCAATCTCAATGTCCAGGGCCAGCTTGACATTCATCAGCTCCTGGTGCTCCCGCAGCTGGTGGGCCATGTCTG